TAAGTCTTTAATAATTCTTGTATAACACAAACACACGAACCATTGGCTTGTGGATGATTTACACAGGCCATTCCACAAAACATGAGAGAAGCGAAGCTTACAAACGATACGCGAGAGTCTGCTCACCGCAATATTTTGTGGTGCCTACCGCCCATTCAGCCGCGAGCCCTTCCCTCTCCCCACCCTTGAAATATGAGGAGGCGAAGTTTATTGCGGTTGGCCTGCTGTGCACTAGCAAATTATCGGGGAAGCATTGATAACTGCTTGGAATTTCTCCCCCTAACGTCCTTCATAGCTCAGACGGATTTGGAAGGCTTGTTCCAGGGAACAAAACAGTATTTTTTTTCGCGTCTGTTGTAAAGACGTACAAAATCTCAAGAACGTTTTAGAGGATTACAATAGTGATAAAACATTTCTTATACATAAGGAATTACTAGGTAAAACACATTTTAATTTGATAAATTAACCCACAAACTATTTCAACCTTGCAAACTTGCAACCTCAGAGTTAATTGTGTCGTCAATGGAAGTATTTGAGTAATGAAAAACCAAACGGCGGTGAACTCTACGGACAAGGGTTCCCATCATCATCATCTACAGACCTTCACCGCCACCGCCACCGTCACCGCCACCGTCACTGACACCGCATCACCAGGGGGTGGACAGCCCGGGTGAAGTTCTTATCCAAGCACCCATTGAACCAAATCACTACGCTTACAACAATAGAATCATCCTTGATATCGTTGATACAATAATTTGCCAAGGAATCAACTTCCCAATTTATCAAACGGTTGTTCCGGATCTAGATTAGGAGCATAATCTATTTATCTGCCCTTTCCAAGGCAAAATTTCAAAACATACAACATAAATAAACCAATAAACAAAAAAAATCAAGTGGAATAAATTTCGCCATCTAATGTCTCAAAACCTAGAATTTCCAAATTCAGTTTAAAAAATACCAACTTGAATCAGAGATAACCAAATAATCAAAGATAAACTTTAATGAAAGTATTGTATCATCCCCTTCAGCACACAGTGTAGAAATTTACCTCAACAACTATTGAATCTGATACATGAAAATCAAAAACCGAGAAAGGAATGGCAAATAAAAAGAAACACTAATTACAAAAGAAAAATATACAATCTAGCGAGAATAAATAAAATCGAATTAGATAATTTAAGATATTCTAACTTCCAAACTCATCTATCCCAAATAAATTCAAAACGTTTCTAGATAACAATAAAAAATATAACAGAGGAGAAACACATATTCCTCCCCTCAATCAGGAAATTATCAATATTAGGAAGATAGGTACATACGGACTAAGAAAAGGCTGATTACATCTGCGAAAATGTTGGAAATTCTTTCACCCCAACTCAATGACTAAAGGGAAAAATAACAAAGTAATTGCTTCATTCAAAGGAGTAAATGCTTCCCGTATTTGTTAAGCAACGCAGTAAGTACAATGTTTTGTAGGGACATGTAATTGATTTGAAAATGAAATTGATGACATGACTTGACCACCTGAAATTTTGCCAAAAACGCAGTGCATAAAAGAATGAGAATTTAAGGCGTATTTGACACACATGGCTTGACTACCTTAAAACGTGACATGTCGAGCACCTGTATATAAGATAATGTCTCATAAATAAAGGCATTTTTCTTTTCTGCAACTGTATATTTTGTTATCTCCTACCATATGTTCATTGGCAAAACGTGATCATTTTCGATCAGCCAATTAGAATTGCTATTACTACCAGAAAGTAGTAGAAGATTGTAACATTAGTGTGCGGTGCTGACCGGGACGTCGAGCAGCTTGTGCAGGCGCTCCTGCACCGAGAGCCCCTTGCGGGGGCGCAGCAGCACGTAGACGGTGTCGATGTCGGGGCAGTAGAACAGCAGCTTCTCCAGCAGCACGCGCCCCACGAAGCCCGAGCCGCCCGTCAGCAGCACGCTCTGCCCGCGGTAGAACTCGGCCACCGTCCACGGCAGCACGTCCCCCTCGGCCTCGCTGCGCGCCTGCTCCGCCGCCATCTGCGCACAAAACACAAACGCTCAGCAAACACTTGGCAAGTGACAACGCGGAAGCTTAGTGCTATGCTCTTCGAAGGGAAAAGAACTTCATCGTGACATAACTGCACTCGAACACAAGGCGAACCTGTGAAAGTTGGCAAGCTAAAATTAATTGATTGATGTTTCCGGGCACATCGACTGCTCTCATCATTAGTTCCGTTAGTGTAGTGAATTTTTTTAAGCTTGGAAACGGCATTGTTTTATCGTATGTAGGTTTGTGGGTTATTTCTCCCTCTATGGACCCGCGTCAGCCGCAATAGTGGCTGAATTCAACGTAGCTATTTACTCGAATTTCGCGCGTGATTGCATATCTATGCCGTTATAATATATTTTTTAATAAACGCCAAGAGTAATATATTTCTCTTAATATAGATTAATGTATAGTGTGTATTTAATTATGAACTGTTTTTTATTATACTTGTTGTATCTCTCTATTACCAAATTTGATAATCTGTTATGATTGCACAATTATGATATAAATTTTAAGAATATTGATATAATACACGGCAACATTAATATCTATATTTTATCTTTGGAGTAATACTACTTTATCTACCTAATATTTATCTTTGGAGTAATAAATTAATATAGAATGTTTACGTAACTATCTAACAATTTTCAATTGGTTGTGCTCGTTAATACTCTTAAATTTAATTATCCAATACCGTGCGTGGTTGCATAACTATGCAGTTTTTAACAATATTTATTTCAGAAACAGGAACATTAATAAATTTTATTTTTGGGTAATAAATTAGTACTAAATGAGTATAGCACTGGAATTAGTTTGAATCTAATGTGTCCATTTTTTAGAATTTGTGTATGCCAGTTTTACGGTCACAACATAACCACAATTATTTCAATAACGGCAAGAGTAATAAATTTAATGTTTGGGTAATAAATTAGAAATAAATGAGTACTACATATTTCATATGGTTTTGTGTGATTGTGCTACAGTTGTTGTTCCAGTTTGACACCCCTATTTCTAAATCGCGCTTGCCCAACATACCATCAGCAAACTCAAGGGGTGTACTCAGATGAGAACGGTGGCGAGGAGTCGGAACAACTAACGGCTGTGTTCTCTCTGCAAGGCAGCGATCGGACATGTCGAATGTGTGGTAAAAGGTTTAGCCATTGCCGCAGAGTCCACTTCCGACAACCTTCCCCACGCCGTGGCGCAAGAGTGGCCGGTCGAGGTGAGCGGGCCGCGTCACCGCGATAAAGATCGCATTGCTAAAATCAGTGACTGAGTTGTCCTCCCAGTTTTAAACTCATGGCGCTATCTTTCACCAACAATGGGTTAATGCGCGTCTCGTGTATTCATACGGCCGTATGCAAGGTTTCACCTGCCCCTACGCGCCATTTTTAGCTTGAAGTTCACGCCCCGGTCGCTTTTGTCTAGGCGAGCGCGCGTCGGTTAGTCCCCGTGGTTCAGGGCCGCGCAACGTATGCGCAATACGCGCAACCACGAACCGAAGAAAGTCAGAAGCCGACGAGTTTCATTCGCGGCGATTTACAGACTGGTTGTGAGCACTGCTGTTAGAATCGAGTGGATGAATCTGCCTCATATCCCCCGAATGTGACACTGATGTTTTGACTTGTTGTGAGCATTTATGTTTGGACAGGTAGAATGGACTGGATGAATCTGTCTCATATCCCCCGAATGTGCCCTTTATGCTTATTTCTTTCTTGAGGTGATGACCCCTGTCTCTTGCCTTACTTTAAAGGCCCCTTTCACAAAACAAAGAGTAAGATTTTACTCCGGGGTAAATCATGTTTACTCTTCTTGGGGCGTTTCACCAACACTTTACTCGAGTGTAAATCACTTACACGAGAGTAACTTTGCACTGCGATTACGAATGATAGTATTTGAAAACGATTCCAGCAATGATTCATAATATTATCCACTAGTGCGAAGACAAAGGGTACGAGTGAGAATGGATTGGTTTTAATTATGACGATCGAGGTTTTGTCATGAGGTTATGTTTGACCACAATGAGCTGTTTAACTTCATCAGATACATTGTAAACTGTAGAGAACTTCAAGTTTTTTCCCCCACGTGGATACGAATTAAGGTAGTACGTAGCGAATACGACAACAAAAGGAAAAATAATTACTACAGGGACTACAAGTACTAAGAAATATTCATTTATTTATTCAGTAAAAACTGTATGTGACGAATGAGGGAGATCATATGCGCACGTTTTCTTGAGTTCGAGAATCCTTTTCCAATATTTTAACTACAAATAGTTGAAAGGTGAATAAAAGGTTAAAAAGTAAAACAACAAATAATAATAAAATTTAGAAAAACACGAGATCAGCAACATTTGAATAATTAAACATTTTCGTTCCCTGATTATAGAAAATTAATTTGCACCGCCATCGGTAAACGAACTGCAAATTTTATTTTTCTGCATTGCTAACAAAATAGTAACTCATCTCCAGAGAAGAAGAATGAATATTTATTAAGAAATAAAGATACAGAAACTAGGAGATGAACTGTGTTAAATCAAACCACCATATTATAATGCTAAGAACTCCGAAACTGAAATGAATGATAGCATATGAGGAATTAATCAAAGGTTCACGTTGGTCCGCATTGGTTCCCAGCGTCATTCTCGCTCACATCCTCTTGAATCGCTCTTAAATATTGTGTGTTCAGCTGATTTGTGGAGTAAATCGGAAAGTATGTACTCTAGAGTAAAATAACCCTCTTGAAGCATGGTGAAACGCTCATATTCTAATCGAGAGAAACTATCTTAGAGTAAATGGTTGCTCTCGGGTAACTACTCCCAACTTTACTCGGGTGTTGGTGAAATCGGCCCTAAATGACGGAAGATAGGGTGATCACAAAGACTGTTTGTGTTTAGGTTTCACTGTTGCACAACCCTCAAATAATCAAAATTTATGATCAATTAATTAATATAATAATATTTTAATGATATTGAATATTCAAGATAGGACAGCAATATTGATGTATTCAAATGTTTTTGAAACC